TATCCGAAGGGTTATTGCGGGGAATAACTTAGAGAGAAGTCAGAGCAAGTAAGCGTAGAGAGAGAGAGAGTGTATTATAAATGTGGAGCCTTTTCAGCGTGGTTATCATGTCGGTAGAGGTGCCCTCGGCTACAGAGGACTAGCCGAGGGCTCTTAGTGCTGAGGGGCCCTGAGTGCCGAGGGCTCCAGGTGCCGAGGGCTACTGATTTCGCCGTTTTCTCCCAGTTCCTCTGTTTATTCGAAATATCCATGCTTTGATAGTTTGGAGCCTTCGGCCAGGGGGCCGAAGGCACCCCTGGTGCGTATTGCGGGCTGCTTGGTACTCTGGGCGTCGTGATTTGGGCCTGTTGGGCCTTCTGGGCCTGTTGGGCCTGTTGGACCTCTACTGGAGTAGTAGGAGTCTGTGGGCCGGGTGTTCCCGGGACATATACTCCATCACCGACATACCCGACCGGGTATGTCCAGAAATGTGGCTTTCCGGGAAATTTCCTAAGATACCCGATCGGGTATCCTATATACCCGGTCGGGTATCAGCCCCTGCAGCTCCCAAAAGCCTATAAATACACTCCTTTCCTTCACAATAAGAGATCCAATCCCTTGTACATCTAAGCTCAGTATAGAATAGTTCTTTCTTTATATTTTTCATCATGTTTAGTCTCCAAATGAGGAGCTAAACTCTTCCATCTTGGTTTTGCTACTTTGAAGCTTAATGAATTTGTAAGTTGTGAGTTATTTTCTTTAATCTTCTTCCTTGAATATTAATTCTTTCTTTCAAAATACTATCTCTATATCAAAGTTGGGGAGTGTTACTAAGATGACAATTAGTTAACATCTTGACATTGGTTATAGTAATAGCTATTTCTTCCTCTATGATAATATTGGGGAGTGTTACTAAGATGACAATTAGTTAACATCTTGATATTAATCATAGAAGGATTCATACATTTTAATATTCTTCCTTGAGTATTAATTAATTCCTATTCATATTTCATGTTAATATCTTAAACATTACTTAAAGTATCAACTAGTATTGTTTCTCATATTAATTATTACTAGAATCAATCGGTTAATACGCTTGTTATTAATCCGGTTCTTTCAACGGTAGTAAACTTGGAATATTAATGCATGCATCTCATGGTTAATATGCCAAGGGGAATTAATTATATTGATTAAACCAATAAACCGCTTGTGTTGAGGTTATCAATCTCAATCGTTTTCATCTTAAGTTTATTGCTACTATCAAGTTAATATACGGCGCTTGTTCTATATTGACTCGATAGTAAGTTTTATTAATGAACGCATCTCGTTATTAATAACTACCCTCGATGAACTGGATATACTTCTCGATTGAGTATTCGAGAGGAAGATAGTTAAAGATATAACCGGGATCGACGAACATTTCATTAAGTGGATTAAAGCAAAGCCAAGTCCCCATCTCATTGAATTAAACTCATATAGGTCGTTTATCTTAGTGTTATTAAACCAAACAAATCTAAACCCCCTTGTTACTATTTATATAAAAGAAAAGTATTCATTTCCCTGTGGATACGAACCTTACTAAACTATACTACGTATTAGTGTCGTATTGATTAATTATTTTGAGTGCATCTAACGACGAGTGCACGTCAATGACATTGGGGCTTAGTGGATAGCAAAAAGTATTAATGTTTGGTAGTTTCCATTACATGGTTTGACTTGCAAAAATATTGCACTGGCTCCTGATTTACCTTAAGTGCATACAAAAAAGTGCACATGTACATAATTGCAAAAAAATGCACTATTAACATAAACTAAAGTTCCCCACATGTTGACAGTTCATCTGTGAAGATGCTATACATCTTCACCTATGAACTCATTCTCTTCAGTTGGAGGCTGTTATGTGGTAGTTGCCAAGAGTGCTGCCAAATTTGCCTTTGCTGTGTCATACAGTTGTGGACAAATTTCCACACTTTTTGGTAATAGCCCTAGCCTTTGCAATCTGTCCTTCCCTACATGCTTCAGCTTGTAATTGTTGCCTCCATTATGCCTTAACACCTCTTCCATGACATATTGATAGCTTAGGAACACCTTGTTCAATGTAATGGGTGTAAGCTCTTCAAATGTTGTGGTCACTGCATTTATTAACTCCAAAATGGTTTTTGGTGCCTTATGTTCTTCAATGGAGTCAATAGCCCTGAAAAACCCTAAGTCTAACACATTAAGATCTGGACTGTTTGCTGGTTGACATTTAAGTTGGATATCCCATCCACCTTCTGTTGCATTCCTCACAAAATCTTCATCATTACCATTAATATGAGGTCTGGCATTATCTTAATGAATGATTATATGCCTGTTCTGTGCATCTGGCCACTTCTATTTTATTGCTGGAAGTAGTTGATTAAGTATCATGTCCTTCACCACTTGTCTTGTAACACTTGAAGTTCCCTTTATCTCTAATGTACCTGCTGCTCTGTTTTTACTTGATCTCTTGGTTGTGCCTTCATAAGTGAATGGAAATATTCCAACCTTTCCATCCCATAAAGCCTCCCCATTGTCCCCCAGTGTAGGTCTGCCCACAGCTGCCAAGAACATGATCTTGGGTATGAATTTCTTTGATTGTGCAGTCCTGTATGGTTCTTCCTCTGTGGGCAGCATGTAGAATGTGCTAGTTTCTTTTGATAAATAGAACCACTTCTCATCTATGTGTATGTGATCATAAAAGTTATGAAATGTTGGGGTGAAGGGCAATGAGGAAGGGTTGATGTTGTTTAAACAGAATGTTAACCTCTTGATCTTTCCATTTTCATTTAATAGGGGCTTCATAGCATTGGAGTGCCTTTTTATTTGCTCCCCCTTAAATCACTTATGGACAGTAGTCTTGGACACTTCCATTGCAAAGCCCAGTAGTTTTTTCTTTGGTGGAGAGGGATTTCTGCAATTTTTGCAAGTCAAAACTCTTTGGTTTTCTACCAACATGTCCCTTCATATTGTTGTCCACATTTATTGGCAGGCCATTCTGCAAATGTTGTTTTGTTGTACGCCATAAAGTGTGGACAGTCCTTCTTGACACGTTGAAATCCATGGATGTTATTGTCACTAAGTCCCTATGAAGTTTCCCCTCTTTTGCATTGGTTAACAAAATTTCAATAATTCTTCTTCTTTGCTGAAATGTAAGTTAGGCCACTTTCTGTGGCCAGAATCTGCCCCTGTGGACCCACCATCATCGTTTTCTACTTGTGCAGGTGCAAGTGAGAGATGTGTACCTTGAAGAGGTGGTGGCAGATTCAGATCCAAGGGCCAACTTTCAGCAGATTCTTCTTCCTCTGTGTTGTCCATTTATGTACGCATGTGTGGTGGTAGCGGGAAAGGAGTAAAGGCTGGTGGCTTTTGTTTACTTTTGGGTATTTATAGAAAGGTGATAGGTTTTGTAAAAGGGGGGGAATCTGAATTGTTTGGAGGGAACTTTAAACTTTTGGATTATTTTGGGTATGTGGTGTACGAATGGTGGATGTCATGTTTGTTTTTGGGAATGGATGTTTATTACCCATATTGCACTATTCCTTTACCCCTTCCTCCTTTATTTTCGGCCAACACTCTTTTTAATAAAGTAAGGGCAATTGTGAAAGTCAACCTTTTTTTAATTTCTATCTAAATACCCGTGAAGTCAAACTGTGGATTTTATTTAAGGACGAAGGGAGTATTTGATAATATTTACTCATCATCATGAGTCCAGTAGGCAATTGAAATATTTTGTCAGACTATTAACACAAATCAAATTTTAGTTACAATGACAATGATATCATTTGATTGAAGTTTCTCATCTCTATCTCTAGAGGATTTTGCTGGTGCGGCTATATACTACGTACCCATCTGGCCGTCTCTTGTGGTGTTTGGCTGTACTGCACGGAGTATGTTTCGTAATACTTCTATCCCTTTGAGGTATTACAAATTTGAGTTTTGTGCAAATTTGACTCGCACAGGATTAACAAAATAAAAACCGCGTTAATTGAGTTTTGTGCAAATGAGAGAAAATTACGGAATATATGAAACCACAAATTTTTTATTAAAAATGGAAAGTAACAAAGTTAGTGGAATAACCAAGCATTCAGCCCAACTGGTTGCGAGGTTACCGTGTCTAGTGGGAGGTCTCGAGTTCGAAACCCACTAGACACATAAGGTTTTGAGTCCTGATTACTCCAGCACCCCCCAGACACCCCTGGAGTAAAAAAAAAAATCAAAACAGTAAATAGCTTGTTTGGTAATAGCCAAATCGATTGTATTGACTGATTCTACTAAAATTTATGAAGTTCTGGATAAGTGGTTGGATTGGCTGATTCCATTGATTTATAAAAAAATTATACTTAAAATATATTTTATTAATAAAATGAAGCAAAAATAAAATGAAAAAGAAAAACTAAAATGAGCAACTATGGTAATTTTTGCAAATACATCCAGAAAAGTAATTCCAAAATTGTTTTTTGTTATTATTACACAATTCAGCGCATGAAATCAAAAGTTAATGAAAAATTTGATTAATAAGTCTAATAAGTTGAAAAATAGAGTCATCCCAAAGTTTTAATGGTTGGAAATAGGAATGTACATATTTGTAGGGGAGAACTCCATAAATAGGAGTAAAAAGTTTTGAAATTCCAAAACAGAACTATCATGTGTTTTATTCCTTGAATATGAGTACATTTCTGTCAAGTTTGACATTACTAGGCTTTAAAACATGACATTTGTTTCCAAATTTGACAGATTACTCATATTCATGGAATAAAAAATATCTCACTCTTATTTTGGAATTTGAAAAGGTTTTTAGTAATTTTTATATTTGAAGGGGTCACCAAAGACTCAAACACTCAGTTTTGTCTTATTGGAAGTAAATAATTCTCCAAAGAGAATCAAGTTAGATGGATCCATGAAGGGAAAGGAAGTAGGAAACAACAAAATCAGCAGTCCGTACATCTTTCATTTATAGTGTCGATTCATTTATGCTTCTAAACATAACTACTCTCACACAGAAACTTCCGGCAGAGAGACAGAGGATTGGGGGGGAGTTACTCATTTATACGTACCCCTCCCGTTCGATCACTGTCATTCCAAGAAAGCTAGTCAAGATGATGATGATCGTTGACTGTTCCAGCTGCCGCACGCCCTTGCGCCTTCCGTCGGGAGCCAAGACCATCCGGTGCGCCGTCTGCCACGCCATCACCCGCGTGACCCCGCCGCCGCCGCCGCGACCGGCCATCTCTCATCACCAGTACGGCGGTGTCCCTCCGGCAGCTCCGCCGACAGTGCAGAAGAGCGGCCGGAAGAAGGCGCTGATTATTGGGATTTGTTACCGGAACAGTGGGAATGAGCTGAAGGGATGCATTAACGACGCCAAATGCATGAGACATTTACTGCTCAAACGCTTCAACTTCCCCCCAGAATCCATTCTCATGCTCACTGGTACAGTTTTCCGACATGATCGATGTGCTCGATCTCTAGCTCGATCAATACCCATTCTATGCTTTAATTAGTTCTTCTATATATGCAACTCATGTTCTAAAAATCAACACTTTCTCAGCTCTCCGTAAACCATACTTATGTGTTCTTATTCAATCGTATGAAGGATTAATCTCAAAACAATATAATTATGTGTAGTACGAAGTAAAAGATAAGTGAATGAGTTATATTTAAGAAAGAAAAGAATTACACTTGAGTCATGTTTTACTCTTATTTTTTCAATTATTATGGAAATAATTCCAAATATATATCCAAAATCAAAGTAGTACACAAAAAATATGACTCAAATTTGGTTTCAGATTATCTTGAACGTTTTCGCGTAATTTGATATAATGATATGCGTTCACTTCTACTTGTTTTCGAATGGGAGAATTCCAGAATCCTACTTGACTCAGCCCGTGAGAATGCTGATTGAATTTGACCGAGTCCATTGAATTTGATGAAATTATTGAAAGTATAGTGGAATCTTATTAATTATGGAAAAATCATATCTAAAATATACTTCGTATTTCAGAAAAGGAACTCAACCTTGTTTTGATGGTTACGGACTTGGTATTCAATGCATGAAATAAAAAAGTTTCATGTTTGGTAGCAAATGAGTGATAAAATGAAAAAGTAAGTTACCAAACTTTGTAAATTTATATAGGGAAAACCACTTTTATAAACAAAGACCATAGTACGTAGCAAGAGCCAAGAGGTGTAACCTATTTTAGTATGTTTTTATTTGGATTGAAATTTGCTGGTCTGGTCTAGTCTTGTAAATGTCTGATCTGATTTGATCTGGGACTAAAAAAGTCCAAGTATAAACATCCTTAGTTGCATCGGGCTCTATCAGTGCCACTTCCAGCAATGGCTGCTGCTATGAGACATTGCCTCTAGTGTCATCATATCAGCCAACACCATTTCTTGCGATCCTGCACCGCCTTACATCGGAGATGGTAACCATTTATAGGAGTTCAACTGTTGTACAGCCATTAGTACATTTCTTATAACATTTGGGCTTTAGAGTTTTAATTCCAAAATTAGATTGTACGCAGTATTATGAGCAGTCTTTTATGGTACAAACGAATAAAAAGATGATATAATAGTTAACTATTGTTAAGAATAAAAAATGGTCTAACTCAATCCTAAAAGAGTTCTTTAAAGAGTTCTCCTGCTCCCTTATGAATGAGACAGGGGGGAATATTGGATTACCATGAATAAAGTGTGTAATGCTCAATTGGTTTAGGACATCTTTAGGAATCTGAATAACTTTTTGTGCAGATAAAATCAAATTATTTTCTGTAGAGGAACCTTAGCTTTAAAGGTTAGAACGTGGCGGTCTATCCTTTAGATGATCAACACTGATAAGAACATGTCCTCCAGAAGTGGAACTATGAGTGTTTGTAGGCACCGGTTCCAAACGCAACACCTTTTACATTTTTCTTGTTATGCTTCGCGGAATATAGCCATTAAAAGCTACCTACGCCATTGCTATATTTATTTTCCACATACAACTGTATACTTGTTTTTCAAAATTTTGAGTGTTCACATGATCGAATAGGAGCTTCATGCTTGCCTCCGACCTTTGGGAGAATACATATAACAAGTAGGGTCTTGGTAATTTTCCAGTATCCTAGCTGTTTGTATACCTTCAAGCATTAGAACTCATTCCAACTTGTTATGCTTTGCCGCTGATTTTGAGAAAAAATTTCCGAAAAATTATCACTGTTTTTTCAAAACCTCCAAATTTCGACCAAGTTCTAATCTTAACTAGCTATTTGAAGCAAGATTATGTGTTGACCAAGTAATCGTTTGAGCTAACATCGAGACTAGAAGTCGTGAACCCATCTACTGAATATTAAGATATAACACGAACATATAAATTGGTTGACTATTCATTCTATCAGATTGATCTTTTAGAATGAAATTCCAACTTTTAATACGATATCATGGAAGTGCGGTTGTGGTCTATTTGTTTGTTTGACATAGGTAGCTCACTAGCTTGTTTGACACATTTATCTAATCGTCATGGGTTTCTGGACTTGGTGAATGTATTGAAGTATTTCTCTCAAGTAATTATAAATAATAAATCCACATACAAAACTCTTGACTTCTACTTTGTTGGCTTGAACTCAAGACATCTAAGCATCAATACAACTCATGTCTGATATTTGCTCTCCTCTGGAAGTATACTTTCAGAAGAAGAGAAAGGTCCATACAGGATTCCCACAAAGCACAACATTAGAATGGCAATCAATTGGCTTGTCCAAGGTTGTCAGGCGGGTGATTCGCTAGTGTTCCACTATTCTGGTCATGGCTCTCAACAAAGAAACTACTCCGGGGATGAAGTTGATGGATATGATGAAACTCTTTGTCCCTTGGATTTTGAGACGCAAGGAATGATTTTGGACGATGAAATCAATGTGACACTGGTCAGGCCGCTTCCCTGCGGAGTTAAGCTTCATGCAATTATAGATGCTTGTCACAGTGGCACTATGCTTGATCTTCCCTTTCTTTGTAGGATGGACAGGTTTGTCAACTCATCCTGTTTAACGCATGCATTCTTTTATGCCCAAAATACTAACAGAAACATATACTCTCTCTGTTTTGAATTAGTCTGTCATGCTCGAATTCGGTTTTTGCAACTCAATCCAACTTCATGTATAGTTTGTAAATGTGTAAATTTCTAGGTTTCTGCTTGAGTGAGCCATCATCTTGTTAGTGCATGTTAAGTTCCTTTTATTTGTTTAACTTTTTATGATGGAACCTCAAACTTAATATTCTGCCACCCAATCTTTTTCAAGAGGAGGTTGACCAATAGGCTAAAAAGAAAACAGAAGGATTGATCCATTTCTTGAATTACAATAACCTTAAGCAAAAACAAGGTATGCTTAAGCCTTAAATTACATCATTTTTATTTGTATGCAGAAATGGGAAGTGTGGATGGGAGGACCACCGCCCTAGATCGGGGACATGGAAAGGGACGAGCGGGGGAGAGGTTATATGCTTCAGTGGCTGTGATGATCACCAAACCTCTGCTGATACTGATGTGAGCAGTTTTTAAACTTCTTGCCTGTTCTTCAATTGAAGATGAGTATCTGAAAATGCTAATAACACAACATTATCATCCTTTTTGCACTCTATCAAAGGTGACCTCAACAGGGGCAATGACCTTTTCTTTTATCCAAGCAATTGAACATGCACAAGGGACAACAACATATGGGAGTATCTTGAAGGATATGAGAACTTCCATACGCAGTGCTAGTAGTTTTATGACAACTCTTATGTCAATGCTTACAACAGGAGGGATCAATGGCAAAAGACAGGTACTACATTCAGGCTTGTAAATTACTCTAGTATTTGACTTAATAATTTAGAGTTCAGGTCTACCCCACATCAAAATATTAAGGAATATTGCCTGGTTTATGCATGTAATTTTTCTGTTTCTGTTATTATTCTTGTAATTCTACCTACTTGTAAATCATGTCCTTGAAAATACTAAACCATATAACCATAGTCTTATATAGGGCTATTAATGAACCCAACTTTTATTGAGCTATTCGAGTTCGAGCTTGATTTCGAACCTAACGAGCCGAGCTTAATGAGCCTCTAACTCGAACACGAGCTAAGTCCTAAGTTTGAATAAATAATCGAGCCGAGCTCGAGCATAAGAGTATTACACTCGGTTCGAGTTCGAGCTATTGAATAAAGTGAAATTATACGCTCAAGTTATATATATGCCAAATTTTAAATGTAGTTAGTATGATTTTATAAATTTAAATATGTTTTTTAACGAATCGAGTACTTGCTGAATACTTCGAGCCTAGCTTATCAACGAGTCATCATCATCATTACATCAGTGCCACAAAGATTCCCACCAACGGTGGGGTAAGGGGGTCGGATGTATACAGCTTTACCCCTATACTAAAGGACAAATAGATTGTTTCCGAATGATCCATAGTGAAAATCGGATAGAAAATTACATTGACTGATTGCTGCTTCATAACAAAGAAGCGCGAACAGTTTAGTGAGCCATTTTGCTTTACTTCATTATATTCCCAAGACAAAAATTCTTATTAACGAGTATCACTAAAAAACTTACATCCTAGCATATTTATCGACCTTATCAAGCGCTAGATACGAACATCGAACACCTATCGAGCCGAACATGAATCTCATTTGTAAAGCTCGCCTAACTTCGAGCATGAACACAAACACCGCTATTCCGAATCAAACCGAACCGAACTCGAGTTCTCGTGTTTGGGCTCGGCTCGTTCACTGCCCTAGTCATATAAAGACTTTTCCACCGGCAAAATACAAATTCCAGCCGTCGCCAACGTGAAGTGTGGATAGTTCTTCAACTTGAATAAACTTATAAATTACATGACCTTGTCTGGAATAACTAATGTATCAAACTTTCATATTATTGACTTAAACTGTGTAACAATGCTACATCAACGTTATAATTTATATTTTGTGAGTGCAGGAGCCACAATTAAGTGCAAATGAACCGTTTGATGTTTACAACAAACCCTTTTCACTGTAGCTGCTCAAACTCGTTTTGATGTATGAGGATCCACTGGACACATTTGTGTGCAATCGCTACGGAAGCACAAATTTATAAATGAATTCTTAATTATTTCATCCACTTGTTTCAATTGAAGTGAAATATTGTAATTCTGTAACCTCATTATGTTATATATTCAAAGAATTGTTCATTTGTTATAGGAATTGGAATATCTGTTGCGTTATTTTGATATATAAACTGCCACAAAACGACAGTAGTTGTATAAACCGCAAATATTCAAAACTGAGCTAGGTTCTACGGAGTAACTTATAGTCCTTGGTTTACTATTTTTTTCTCCCTGATATTCCTCTCGAGGAATTCCATGTTTGTGTTAAACGGATCCAGAGCCTCTGCCTTGCTTTAGAGTAAGGTAGGGTGCCTTGCTCTTCACAACTGTTCGATCGAATATTCAAGTGTGAGAGATTTTGGGGTCCACTATTTCACCGATCTCGAGGTTGTCCTCGTTGTTGTCCTGTCGTCCTGCGGCATTTTTCCGTGTGGCACAGGATCCTGATTGGTGTTAACATAAACACAACCTTGTCTGAAACTTGATGAATATGCTTATTCACTTCATGATTGATTTACATATAGAAAATTTAAGCAACTATCTTGAATTGAAGTTTAGGTTTCGTAAAAATTAAGTGAATTTTGTTGAACATTATTATACCAATTTCCTAAAAGTTTATTTGGATGAATTTTAATTAAGCTAAACATACTAATAGTACCTAAATGGAGATACAATTCTCCGAAAACCTTCTATCGAAAAGTTCTACTCCGTGTAATAAAATAATCACCAAGAGAAATCAATTGTCACTTGTCTACTTGGGTGAAGAAATATTGGAAGCCTTGATACAAAGGTTGCAAGTTGGTGTTTGAGAGACCTTTATTAGAGTCTAGAGAGTAATGTTTCAATTAGGTACTTCAATTTGTCTTAGATGGAGTAAAGAATACATGGATTTGAATCAAAGCTCATAAAGTACCTAGACTTGTATATGGTGGTAAAGAGTGGATAGCTAGAGTACACTAACTTGCAATAGAGTTGTGAAAGTACTCTAACTTATTTTTATAATGAAAATATGGTACATTTGTCAAATATAGATGGACAACTTAGAAAAAAATGATGTAATAATTTGTTAACTTTTGAAATTTTATCAATTCAGGACCCGAAAGATAGATGAATTATCAATCCAGGACCTGAAAGATGAAATGTATTGATATAGGACCCGAATGATGGAAAACTATCAATTTAGGACTTGAATGATCGGAAGTTATCAATTTAGGACCTAAGTTATATGAAATTTTATTAATATTTTTATTTTAAAATTTTTAAATATTATTTAGTTTGATGAATCTAATAAACTTTTGTGAAAAAAAGTTTATCAAAAATTAGCAATGGAATTAATAAAAAATTAAATAAATCAAAATCTATGAAATTTTAGGTCCTAGATTGATAGTTTTTCATCATTCGGGTCTTATATCGATAGATCTCATCTTTCAGGTCCCGAATTGATAATTCATTTATCTTTCGGATCGTGAATTGATAAAATTCCTTAACTTTTAGTTTAAACTAGTTAAAAATAGAAAAAAAAATAATAAAAAGTACGCAATGATTTATAAAATTATTAACTTTTAAAGTGTGCTTAACATTTGTAGTAGTTCAACGAACATATCCTAAAATACTGTACAATTAAGAATGAATAAACATTTGACAAAATTAGTAGTTAAATAATCAAATTTGTTTTAATTGTAAATGTTAAGAAGGAAAGAAGAGTACATTAACAATTCAGTTGAACATATGCACTAAAATCACATTGTATAATAAATTGAAATGAATTGATATTTTCAAAGTCTTATAAATAAATTTTTAACTAGTTTCAACTAAAAATTAATAAATCATTAAATCATTTTTTCTAGGTAGTATATTTATATTTGACGAATGTGCCATTATTTCATTGTGAAGACAAATTAAAGTACTTTCATAGTTTTGTTGCAAGTTAATATACTCTTTATTCAATTGAAGACTTCTTGAAATGCAGAGAGTACTTTATAAGTTTCAATTAAAAACAAGAGAGAATTCCCTAAATAGGAGTAAAAAAGTTTTGAAATTCCAAAATAGGAGTATCATGTTTTTTATTCCTTCAATAGGAGTAAATTTTTGCCATGTTTGGCATTACTATGCTTTAAAACATGGAATTTTTTTTCCAAACTTGGCAGATTATTCATATTCAGGGAATAATAAACATGATACTCCTATTTTTGGAATTTCAAAATGTTTTTACTCCTATTTAGAGCAATTTCTATAAAAAAATCAATTATCAAATTGACACAAGTTATAAGTATGATCTCTATGGAGACTCATTTGGATCACCACTAGATCAAACTTGATCAAATTTGAACACCATTGTTAAAATCACTTCAAAACTTAAAACAATAGTAAAATGAAGATAATGCTAGACCTCAAGCCAGATTAGATCAATTCAACGTGAACATATTTAAACAAACTAGACCAAACAAGGTCTAAAATAAAGAGGGAAGTATCAATTTAATATATACTCCAATTTGTCTATAGAGGACTGAAGAGAATTCCCTCCTTCCGAGCTTAAGGTTTCCACTTATCTCTTTTGGATGTCTCAGTTAAATCTTTTCATTTTTATTTTGAAAATAATTAGCGTTTTTAAATGACAACATAATCAGTAAATATTAAAATATTACAATGATAATATTACAGTTATAATCAATGACCCCGACCCATTATATTATATACCCATCCATGGGCGGAGCTAGCTAGGGGAGGCCATTCAAGGCCCTAGACCATCGCAAATTTAAAAAATTGTCTTATTTTTTAGCTAGAAATTGCGTGCAATATTTTTTTCAAAAATATTTTTTGTATCGGCTCAATCCAGTCCAATGTCTTGGCTCCGCCCTCGTACTAATCAAAATTACCTCTCAAAATATATACTCAAATTGCCTTATTGAATTATTATTTAAACAATTGTATCATTCTTCAATGAAAAGCTCAAGAAAAAGTAGTACGGAGTAGATTTTTAGTACATCTACGTATATCGAAGCTTAGGAACTAGGAAGTATTACAAGTCTATGATACAGTTTTTATAGTGTCAATGACACATTTTAGAGAGATGTTAGAGTCACCCCATTTTGTATCCTATTTTTTACTCATCCTATGTTTGTGCCTCACAAGAATCCAACTCAATTAAATTAATTGCTCTATTTTAATGAAGTGTTTTTGTGAGCCACAAACATATAAGGCTACAAAACTAGGTAACTTTAGCATTTTGTGTACGTTATAAATGTTGAACTTAAGCAGAAACAGTATAATGACAAAACACTATGCAGAAACCTTGAGAATTCTTATATTTATACAAGAAGTGAAACTGTGAAAGCAATGTACAAGGAGTATTTTATACATAAATAAAAATAAAGTAACATTGTTAAAGTGTATAAATCAAACACCTATCATTTGCAATACTAGTGCACTATTTTATCCAACTACCACACACATTTTATCAAATGTTTTGTAATCTTTTATTTTAGCACAAACATTTAAATGTATGTTAAACATAATTTCAAACTCCTTATAAATTCAATACATAATATCTACTATAAACAATACATTTGCTTATTTAATAATTATTTATATCAAGCATTTCGTCATTTAGAATTTTATTCAAATGTTAGAGCTTGTTTGGCAACACTGAAATTAGATGAATTGATTTATTCTGCTGAAATTTATGAAGTTGTGACTGAAATTGATGAATTGGCTAATTCTGTCGATTTATGAAAAAATATATTTAAAATATTTTTATTAATAAAGTAAAAAAATTATACTCGTATGAAAAATAACTAAAATGATCTTCTGTCGTAACTTTAGTCAATACAGTGACAAAAGTAATTCTAATTTTATTTTTTCTTAATACTCGTATTACTCAATTCAGCACGCGAAATAAAAAATCGAGGATCCTCCAGGTCACTGAGTCTGCAGAAGTGGATAACCAATTTTCCTCACTCGCCTCTCTCCAAGCAAATCCATGGCGGCAGCTACAGCAACTACTCAGCTATGCCTCTCTCCTTCATATTCCTCGGCAACCCACAAATTTAAAAATTCCACCTTTTGCACTCTCCTTCCTATTCACAAATCTCACACTCCATCTTGTACAAGAAGAGTTATGGCCGCCGCCTCTGGGAAATACACAGACTTACTTGGCGATTTCGGAGCCAGAGACCCATTTCCAGCTGAGATTGAGAGCAATTTCTGCGAGAATGTGTTAGGAAACGCCGGCACTGAACACAAGATACTCATCCCAAACGCTTCTGCTCTCTCTCTTGCTCAACTGGACTGCGTTCCCATTAGTCCCCGTCAACCTCCCATGTCTGAGTTTGAAGCTCGCCAGATGCTACTTAAGGTCAATTTCTTTTTCATTTTTCCTCTCTGAGTGAGAATGTCTTTAAACATCAACCCTGTATGTAAAATTATGATCTTTTGATCATATATGATCTTTTGTTAATGTTTCCGGTTGTTAAAATTGCTAGAAAAGGATCAAAAGTGATCAAGAAACACTAATCAAGTATCAAAAGTTGACAAAGTGAAAGACGTAGACTAAAGGTAGGACCAAAAATGGAATTAATCTTATTTATAATGACCAACATACGATCGAAATAAGACATTATACATTAATTGGCTTTTTATACTTTCAGTAGATTATGCACTATAGTTGTAATATTTTTGTCTAGTAATATTTCAGAGGGAAAACTCTTTTAAATCAATCAATAATGTAATTGTTATTGCAAAATAATTGCTCTTATGCAATCACTTTACTACAACCGCAAAAAAAGACACTATCTTGATTTAGGGTCATCGCAATGTCACCTTGTAAGTGTTCAGCAATTTCAACTTCTTTCAATTACCAACCACAATTTTTTTGAGAACTTCTTTGGGGGTTGAATTAGGTTTGACAAATGACAATATTCATAAATATAAAGTTAATGGATGTGATTATGAATAGGTTGTTGGGTGGAGGCTGATAGATGAAGAAGGGGGGCTCAGGCTGCAATGTACATGGAAATTGAGAGACTCTGGCTGTAGTGTTGAACTCATCAATAGAATACAAAAGGCGGTGGAAGGGACCGGTCATTCCGCCTCTAATCTTCACTTAGAGCAGCCGAAGGAAGAGCCTAACCAAGTTAGAGCTCATTTGTGGACTGCTTCCATGGGTACACATTCTCATTGCCTCCTTAGTCTTCATATATCTGGTTTATCTGCTAGATTTTCCGCCAATTGTTGAACCCCCCTTGTATAAAAATCAAATTTAGCCACACACTAAGCTATGACTCCACGTTATATAAAATCAATCACAACATAATGAACTGTAACATGCTCATGTTTTGGAATGAGTGTTTTGCTAATGTTATTTCTAATCAAGAAAATTCATTTATGGATGACCAGTCCTTTCATTTCCTATTAAGCTATCCCGTATATGATTTTGAATTGCTTTTTCTTATCAAATTGACCTGTCATGGTAAGATCTCAATGTAGCAATATAGTATTTGAGCCTATTAAGCTCAAATATACAACCGTGTATGAAAAACTGGGATACGCAACTCGATTTCTTACGTATCTTTAACAAGACACAGACTTCATATTTGCTATGCTCATTTTAATTTAAAAAATCATTTACGGCTGACCAGTCTTATCGTTTTTTGGTTCTTTCATTTTACAACACAAGTGAACTCGCTGAGAATTTGGATTACTGTTATTATCCTTACAAAGTTGACTCCTTAGGACATGTACTCTACCTCTTAATGGTTTCTACGTTTCCACAGCATGTGCTTATTTGATTATTAGAGCAGTTTTACATGTTTGAGTAATCAAGAACATATATAATTGCAGGAGGGTTGAGCTTGAATGACTTCATTGTAGCTGCCAAAATAGATACGGTTAAAACATCTGACCTTATCCCCAGAAAGAGAGTTTGGGCGTAGGGTGGTAAGGGACATAATGAATATATAACATAATGTAATCTACCGAATTTGTAAAGTAAATATTTGATTACATTACACTTTATAAGCTACTACGTATTACTTTCCACCTAATTACACTATATATTGTAACAGTGGTTCCCATGAAATCAGCATTGGTATTTCATTATTAATAATCAGTAGAGAAAAGGGTCAAATAAGGCTTTTCTACTATTATGAAATAGTCACATAAGGTCATGTACTCAATAAAGTGTCATATAAGTACCTCTACTCGTAAAAAGCAATCAAATGAGTCCTAACGACCTATTTAACCTCTTAATCTCGGTTTCAACATACTTCTGACCATCTTTTTAGAATACGTTATACGACATATGTCGAATATTTAACTAAGATTGGTTGAAATACAAGTCAAAAAATTGACATGCAAGCTAAAAACGGGATTAGGAGGTGTTAAATAAGTTGTTAGGACTCATTTGATTGTTTTATACAAGTAGAGGTACTTATATGACACTTTATTGAGTACATGATCTTATGTGACTATTTCATAATAGCAGAAGGCCTTATTTGACACTTTTCTCTAATCCGCAATACAATTCTTTTATATTTACGGAACAAACCTAACATAGAGCCCCTTTTTCGGCTTATCACCGGCTTTTTTACGAGACACGTAATTATTTGTTCTGTGCGCTAAATTGTGTACGAATCAGATTAAGTAAGATTGGAGTTACTTAGTTTTCTGGTTGAATCTTCCGAACAAGCAATTTTACCTATTTCTTCATATAATTTTTTCTCCATTTTAATTACTAAAATAGATTTTAAATACATTTACAAGTCAATAGATTCATCCAATTCAACCGTTCCAATTAGAATTTACCAGTTCCATCAGATTTAGTCGATTGAACATATTTTGGTGTTACCAAATGAGCTCTATATGTTTTGTATTTTGAACTCTTAAAAAGAAAACAAAAAGAAGACTATTTCAGAAGAAAAAAATGAAAACCAAAATTGTGTTTTCATTCGAAATTCCAGTGAATAATAAAAACTGTATCCATAACAGCAGGCTGCGAATGAAATATAATGGAACAAGAAAGTGGTTGATTTGTATCTTCTAAGATCCGATGAAACATGACAATATTGTGTATATAAGGAGTAGCAGACAAGAAAAATATGAGGCTCAATTAGAAAGGCTTGGAGTCGTTGCAACTCACAAACTATGTCTATTAATTATTATGGCGCAATTTATGGTTCCACAGAGGTACAAGACACAGTAGTATAGTACTATGAATAAAATGTTTTTTGCATTTTTATGTAATTAGACGACCACCCAAGAGCTCAAGAATATATCTGAAGCGGAAAGCAATCGTCGTGTTACCGGGAGACATCTTCTTAGATAACATGCCACATGCATGTAGGCAGTTGCAGTTCCTTCGGATCAATTTGAGGATCCTGCATTAACTGCGTGATTGGCACATTAGTTAATTTTGCGCATAGACTATTGTTTTTATTGCTAGCTAGTACGTTAACGAAACACTGATAGTCATGTTCTGTTTTTGTTGATTTATTATTCTCAATGGACCAGTAGACTCGGCAGCAAAACCTTCACATGGAAATAAATACGAAGTATCTATATTGTGATTTTATTTTTTAGTTTACATCATATTTCTAAATAAAATTGGGAGCAAAATGGGGTTTTGTACAGAAATAACATGTCACTTCTAAAATAAAGTGTTTCCACATAACATTTTGGAGATTTCATATTGTTACCAACAAGAATCGAAGGTTGAGAATGAATTATGAATATAAGATAGAAACCGAAACCTCCACCATGTTGTGGTGGCCAAAGTGCAAAATACGCAATCCTTGAAATTATAGATTACCCAATGTAACACAATGGGTACAACAGTGAGTGAGTTCCGCAGCAGCGGTGGGCGCTCCCGCTGCCCGCTGGCGATAGCAATGCTGGACCAGAAGCGGGGTGACAAGGCCTGGGACATCCCGACAAACTTCCGCTGGTGCAGCAAACTTCGTCTGACAAACAAACATCCAGTGGGTGCACGACGACGGAGTGACAGGTGATCCGGCTCAAGTCTGAGAAACACCAGTTCTGAAATCTACGATTCCATAGCTTATCTTCCTCTTTTGCTGAAATTTGGAGCTATGATGTGAGATAAGAGAGGGCGGATGTAAAATTTAGAAGGTTTTTGTAGAAAGCGTCGGCATAGAGGCGGTGTTTGGCTAGGAAGGGTTTACAGGATATGGAAGTGTAGTGTTTTCCGTCATCTGTGTTAGGACTTTGAAGTACAGCTTTTCTATATTTTAAAATTAGCAAACCAAATGTTTAGTTAAAAAAGCAGGCCAAATGTTAGGACTATCTTTTACAGACTACTTCGTAAATCATAAGTTTGTATGTGTTTTAAACTCTGTATATCATGGTTAATTTTTCTTATGCCTTGGAGTAATTTGTTCAAAAATTAGTCTAAAGTAACAACAAAAATAAACACCATGCTTCAATTTGTTTCAAATCAAAAGAAATTGTTTATAATAATAACTGAATTCACTGAGATAATACTCCGTATCAAATTTGCAAAGAAACTGTTAAAGAATTTGAATTTTTCACCCACTGGGGTTCCAACCATCTTTACAAGGCGTCTCATTGTGTTTTCTAAGGAGTATTGTTAATTTGTTATTTGCTTTAAACTTATAAGTCCAAAATGGATGCATTTCCATTGCATATCTCAATTTTGGGGGAACAAGCAGCACAGAAAAACACAAGCAAACAGGATTATTCATTAACTTCAGTTAACCAAACAAACTTTCATTCACATAACAGGTAGTTTACTAAAAAAAAGGACGACACCCCATCCCTGAGGGCCCCGACCGGACGGTACGTTGGGGGATGTAAATTGGACTATAATCCCAATCTGACAGATAGAGAGGGGCTCTGTCTCCGGTACTTGCAGGGGTCCTATGCATTTTTAGCATAGTAACCCCTCATCGCAGTTGCCAGGATTCGAACCCGGGACCTAACCCATGTGGCACTCCCTTGCTACCAGTTGAGCTACGCCCACCGGTAACAGGTAGTTTACTAAGCATACATGCAATACACCTGGTAGTGATGGACAAAGTCCGAGAACAGAAACATATCAAGAACATCCAGTTATTAACTCTTCCCGGAACCATGACAGGCCATATCCTGCCTGACCTGGTTCTTCCTAGGGCCCCACCACTCATTTCCTAGGGCCCCACCACTCATTTCCTTTAAAAGATACAGCCCAAAACAGGGACAGGCAGTATATTCCGGGCAATACCTTATCCTACACTACAGTTTCCTACAATAGTGTTGGCTACATTTGGCATACCAGGAAAGAGAGCGGAACTAGCCCATGCCTGTACAACAATACACTAGAAGTCTAGAACCTGTCTGAAATGGTTTATTTATCTCGAGTAGAAGCTTTCAAGATGGGCATTAAACATAACACTCTTAGAAAAGTTTATGAATTGTTTGAAGATAATATTCACCAACTCTGTGTACAAACTTTTAACCACAAAGCAGATAACCCACTACAAGTCAATTCTTAGTACAGCTCAACCGCATTGTAGCATCTTCAGTGTAAAGCTTTAGAATTTTAGATTACAGAAACACACTTAGAACAAGTCAAATCATTAACAAAGTAACATACCGGAGAATGTTCAGTTAGACCAAACATGAACCAGACCACACCTGTTTCCGGTATAAATCTCATTACGGTCTTCATCATAAAAGAGAGCAGTGATGTCATCCAGTGCTTCTGCAACAGTGCTTCTAATTCTTGAGGTTGCTTCGACTCTCTTAGATTTGCAGTTCCTGCCACCACAATGGGTGGTGCAATCACAACTGTTCGTGGCAGTATCATTATCAGTTGCTTTTATTTTAGCAAGGCACTTCCCTGACAAGATGTTGCTGATATTGATGGATCCCGCTGCATTACCAGATCAACATTCATTACAAACTTTGCCCTTGTTTGGTTTGGGGGTGGGAGGGAAGAGTTCAAAAAGATCTTATGTTTGACTCAATGGAGTGAGGAGGTTATTACTTCAGGAAAATAAACATATTATACTTCAAATACTTTATCTTGCAGTTAAAAAAAGTCTCTACATATAGGAAAAATATAGAGCAACTTAGATATACAAAAAAAAAGGTGAGACAAATTAGGAAACTATAACTCTTCCAAAACACATTAAATTGAGGAGTGATATGAGAAGTTTGGATGAGTCTAGTTGTCTTGAGCTCCTCTACTTTCCTCCCCTTCCCGAATTGAAGAGTGATATGAGGAGTTTGGATGAGTCTAGTCCTCTTGAGCTCCTATACTTTCCTCCCCTTCCCGACTAACTGTCCAAACCAAACACACCCGATTCTTTCACTTTCTTTACCTCCCCTCTGAAACCTTCCAACCAACACGGGCTTAGGGAGAACAGTGTGATCTAGGCACAAGGGAATATCAAACATCTGACAAAACTGCTACATCCCATCTAGCAGTGAAGACTGTGGCCATTACACCCTTATGTTATATTTTATATTGTCTAAATATACCATTACCTCCAGCCCCCAAAATAAGTTGCTGGTTTAAGTCAATTCAGCATACTTAACTTGTTTGAACTTAGAAGTCCTTTTTTGGGAAGAAACACATTAAATATAATGAAGATTAGCATCTGCATTGATCAGGTATGACTCTGCTTGGGATGAAATAAGTTTTCAAATATGACCCTTTTTTGTACGGAGGGTGTATCAAATATACACATGCAGACTCACCATTTCCTTCGGTTAGAGGGTCGTAAGAATCAGCTTTACAGTAGGAGATGATAAGGTCCTGGTCGCTAGTAATGTAAATGTTGTTAGTATTACAATCAGGATGCCACAAAAGGTGATCCTCAAAAGACGTCACAAGTTCTCCTCTGAAGTTCCAAACAGCAACCGTTCTATTCCTGAATGTCAAGAATAGCTGGTTCTCATACAGAAAAATGAATGCTGATGGGG